TTTTACATCGAATGATGTATTTCTTTAAATCATTTTTCAAAACAAAAATTTTAATATTATTAATAATTTTCGAAATATTTGACTCATTTGGAACGTATAATAATTAATATAATTAATTTATATGTATGAATTTATTAATATTTTTTTCGTAAATAAAAAATACATTATTGCATTTATTTTTTACATATACAATACTAGTTATTAATTTTTGTGATATTTCCAATTTGTATCGATACCAATATAATTGGAATGATTACACAACGCAATGTTCTTGGTACGTTGTACGTCAAATTAACGAGTCGCTGATTGATGATTCACGATCTAAAAAGAAAGGGAATAATCATGTGTTGATTGGATTTGAAAATATCATGCAATTCATACGCAATTTCCAATACCATTAATTTCAAACGCAATTGGCGGAATTGTATATGTAATAATACGAATGCAATTTAGTATCATTAAAAGTCCTGTAAAAACGAAAATCATTCAAAATTATTTGACATTCGAATAACTAGTAAAATTTAAAAATTGTTTTAATTTATAAATATATAATAAAAAACAAAAACATAAACAATACATCCAACAATACAATCAATAATATATGTATCATTAAATAAAATTTTTTTAATTTTTCATTAGAATTGTTTTTAATTTGTTTATTTTAATTATAATGTGACATCATGCTCTGCTGACATCAATTGATCAATTTGTCATTAATATATGCTATTATTACTAGATAGCTCTGATCATGATCAAAGTATCGTGCCATATTGAAGTTGTGATAAGTTTGCATACCGATATTATCATAATACTGACTATCACCACTAAGTGGTCTCGAGCGCCTTGATTCTCGTTAACATTATTTATATACAGAAAATATAACTGAACTGCACAAATGAGTGTGGCATAATGGCGTAAGTGTTATAGATGATAAGTAAATTATATTCTAATGTAAGATTAACATGTAATAATGTAATGTAATAATATGATGTAATAATAAATCACAATTTTGTCATTTATCAAAAAAGTATTTGTATGGAAAAATAAGATTGATTTTGTGCAATAATATATACTATGTATATAGTTGTAATATCTAGCTGTTGTGAAGAATATGCGCCATAAATTAAATTGATTTTAATAGTAACTAATTTAGTTAGAATTAAAGTTATTTAATTTTGGAAAGAAAATAAAAATATTTTTATTAAAATTGATCAGATAAATTGATTGGTTGATAAGATTGATTGGTTTTGTAAATTCTAATTTACAGCAAGAATAAAAATATTTTTTATATTATAGTATAATTTTAACGTTAACAAATCACCATTATCCATTTTCGAAAAGCCAATTGCGCACTGTTCATAGGAAATTAAGCTTGATCCTGTATGCATATGCTAATGTTAAATATATATACCATAAGCATAAGTAGTAACAGTTAAGTCTTGTACAGAATAGATCAGAAAAGCATCATAAAATAAATCGATTTTAGTAAACAGTTAGTACTATTGAATTAATTTTAAAAAAAAAATAAAGATACATTTATCAAAATTGTTGAGATTTGTTTGTCATTATTCATACTTAACATACTTAGATTTTCAATTTTTATTAATTGACTTATTAGAATATTTAAGGTAGATTATAATAATAAGATAAATAATAATAAGATAATAATAAATATAGGCAATAATGAAATGGATATAATAAAATTTCTTAACTAAAGAAAAAATGTTCTAAATAAGTTTTTTAAATAATTAATTTCCCTACAAATACATATTATATTATCTTTTAAAGGAAAAATTTCGAATCAATATAATAATAATTAATAAACACAACAAAATAAAAAGAGCAAATTTAATTCTTATTTAGTTAGTATGTAATTGATAAAAACTCAGATAATGAATATAATGAATTATTTTTTATGTGTTACAGAATTTGAAGAATCAAATCATGACGACGAACCTGTGGGTGGAACAGGTGAGTGATATTAATTTATTTCGTTAAGAAATATCTATTATAAAGTATTAATATCTATTAATAAAGTAAATAAATTAGATTAATATCTTAATTCGTGGAACAAATTATTAACCGTGAAATTTGAAATTTTTCAGAGCAAAGTGACTTAAATTTAATTACTATGATGTATTCAAGATTCATTTTTACAATTTTATGAGAAGAAATATATCATTAATAATTTCTAAATGAAGCTCATTAGCAAATTGGGAATTTTTATATAATTGAAATGTATTTAATTAATTGTAGAAAATATATCAAATAAATTTATGTGGAATTTATACGATACATATATATTAAATATAAATTTATAAATTATATATATATATGCAATAATAGTTTTTTATATTTTTTTTAATAAATTAATATTATAAAACTGAAATATAATGAAATATAGTACTTAACTTATTGATTGATTATTCAGAAATATTTTTTATAAAAAAATAAATCGAAAAGAAAAATTAAAATTCGAATATCTTAAAATTTTTCAAATAAAATTGAGTAATTTATGAAGATTATATATATATATATATAATATATATATTAAATGAAACAGAAGAAATAAGCAAAAAATATTTTTGAGAAGTATAATACTTATAGTCAAGAAATTGTATAATTCATAAAATTAATTTTTAAATGAAAAAAATATTCTATATTTCTTGCTTATTTTCACATATAAAATTATCATTAATTCATTTATATTTAATTATTTTAGAACTTAGAATAGCCAATTTCATTTTTCAAAGTTAATTTTTTAGAAATTAATGAAAAAATTTCTTTTAATCTTTCTTATTTACTTTATGTAAACAACTTCACTTTATAAACTTTGACTAGTATTCAATATTATGATAATTTTGATAATTTATAACTTTCATTTTTTCTTTTTTTTTTTGTTTTCTTTTGCAAAAAAATTTTAATTGAATTATCTCATACAGGATTTAAATTTTAAATTTGTGTTTCAAAACCTGAAGATCTTTTTCTATTTTATTTCTAAAAAAATCTACACATTCATTTGTTATTATATTATTCAAAATATACATGAAAATATGAAAAATATATATTTGCTTTTAAATTGCCCTAAACAATTTATTCTCTAATGTCACAAACGTTAATAAATAATAAACTTGTCGATCAAAGATTTTGGAAGAGATTCGAAAGAAAACAAACGAACCAACTGAACAGAATGAAGATGGGTATAATTTGTACGTGGAAAATAACAGACGTTTAGCTGTTTCGAGTCATTCGTAGCGGTAACTGCAAATTGCTTGCCAAGTAATACGTACTCGTGTAACTGCACATCGTTACACGGCTTTTTGCCGGAAAGAATCAAGCCAAGGAAGAACGAGAGGCGAGACAGTAAGTTGCAGTGGCAAATGTAATTGAAGGATAATTAAGCGAGACCAATTAACATCTTATTCCTCGTTCCGTGGCCAACTTGAAAAATGTCTTCAAAGATAAATCCTGCTAAATTCGTTAACTTATTCGTATAAACATAGAATTTACGCCCATGAAACGTTCACGTTCTTAACAGCAAATTTAATTTCTTGGTCAAGATCTTAAGACTCTTTAAGAGTCTTAACGCGAATAATTACTCGAGAAATTATTCGTTTCTTTTGCAAAGTTGTTGTAATTTTTTTCTGTATTAAATTTTTGAGGTTGATTTGAAAATTTTTTGTTAAAATATTTTTATCTATTTTCATAAAATAAAGCGTTTGTTCAGAAATAGACTTGTTTTTATTTTTTATGAGCAACTTGTGAAACGTGATAGATTATTGTTAATAATTGTGAACAATTCTAGCTTATACAAAGCATTATTTATTTATTTTTAAAGCATTGTTAATCTACATTGGGTACATTGGCTGTTTATGAGTTGTTTGCAAACTGCTATTTTAGTAATGCAAGAAAAGAATTTATTTCAAATATAAAAGTTTGTAATTTCAAATAAAATAAAAGTTGTTTTCTTAATTCTTTTTTTTCTTTTCGAATTTTCCTCATAGGATATTTTATCATTTACAATTTCATATTACTTAATTTTAATTGTAACCAGAAATATTGTGATCTTATTATATGCTGAATTAATAAAATTAAGAAAATAGTAAAAAAATACTCTGAATGAATATGGAACAAAAAAATGCATTAGAATAGAATGCATAGAATATGGAACTAAAAAAAAAAAAA